GAAACCTCCCTTGAGACGCAGCGCGCTGCTGCTCGGTATTGATGGAATGCTGTGGATGTAATTACACTTCTCTTAGTCTTCAATGGAGAGAGGGCTCCTCCATGCCATGGGTCACTCTTGGCTGAGCTCCTTCACCCATGCTGACCAGGAGCCAGGGATAGGGAAGGTCAGAGCCAGCCCATCCTACATGGGCATCATTAACACACACTCCTTGGAAGACAAGAGGCAGCACATTGAAACTAAACCCCAGTGCAGACGTCAAAGCAAACTGCAGGGAGATCAGCCCTGGTCCCCTTTCCATCCCCATCTCCAAGGCACCACGGAAGGAAGGGAGCAAGGATAAACACCAGCACCAGAGGCTGGGCTCATTGTCTGCTGGTTTACACTTCACCTCTGGAGGCAAGTGGTTATGTGCAGGAATGTTCTCTGTGGTTAAGCAAAGCAGGAGCAGTGCGAGGTCGAGATGAGGGGAAGTCCAAGATGTGTGAACTAACGACCTGTGCACATGAAGAAGATGCTGCTAATGCCTAACACTGAACAAACATTAAGTCGCCAAATCACAACATGGGATTCCCCTCACACGGGGGAAATCAGACCAAAAAGCCATTAGTCTTGCTCTCATATTGACTCCAGAGCTTGTGTTTCTATTCCCTGTCACTGAATGAATCAGCATGGCACGAGCACTCACTGTACATGGCAGGCTGAAATCACGCACGGAAATCAATGTTTGTAGAGCGGACAGAGCCAGTTCAAACTCTGATCTCCCCTCTGTGGCCATGGGAAAGGGGATCTGACACAACCAAACACCAGACCAAGGGAGGATGCTAATTCCATCAGTGGTTTCCTTGGAAAACATCGAGTTTCCTGCTTGGTTTCTTGCAGATTCATCCTTCACTGCACTGGAAATCTGCTGTTTGGCAGGGCTGGTGCTGCTCGGCTCCTGGCTCTAGCCCATATTGCCTGGCTGCAAGCCTGGAGGGGAGGGAGGCAGCGGATGCTCTCCCTGGCCACTGCAGGCAGGAGGAGCATCCACACAGGAGCTACGTCCCCTCACAGCAGTAACATGCAATGGATGAAAAACCACGTTCTGCTGCAGGAATGGGCTGGATGCACAGGTTATGAGAGCTCCCATTCCAGTAATAGCTGCCAGTGTGGGCTCTGCAGGTAGGATTTCCCACCCAGCACCTAGATACTGCAAAAGGCACAAGGATTTGAGAGTAAGGCAGGAGCAAAAGGCAAGGATGTGCACAATAATGCTGTACAGACTGACAAATGGTCCAACCTGCTCATTACTCAGGGAGATCCCAAGTGATGCACGGAGTGATGGGGTTTGCTCCCAGAGGCCCTTAACCACAGAAGGACCAAAGTCCTAAGGATCCAAACAGTCAAAGATGTTCTCCAGGGGGTGAAGGTGATCCCAGGGGGTGTTGGGTGTTAATTGTGCGCTTCCAACCCCAGGGAGCATTCAGTGAGGTTTGGGATTGCTGGAGCAGAAACCTGGTGTTCAGGAGGAGAGGCAGGAGGTAGGAAAGAGCCCCCTGTGTCCCCAGCTCCACAGGGAGCCGGCATCACTCCCATGCTGCAGACAGCTGGGATTTCACTGCATTAAGGGAGAGGGAGCAAAGTCGGTTTACATGGCTGATGAGCATCGTCGTTGCCAAGATACATAACCATGTTGCTCTATTGATTGATTATTTCACCCTGTCGTGCAAGCTATCCAGGCTTCAGGGTACTGAATAAAGGGTCAAAGGGAGTTTGTGAGTCGTGGGGCTCTTTGACCTGAAGTGCACCCACCCCAGTGGATCCCGTTCCAAGCAGTCCCTTTGCTTGGAGAAATCCTAATATTCCTCCTTGCAGAATGAGTTATGGTTTTAACACATCTGTTATCGTGTGTTTGAGCAAAGGTGGGATGCACCCCAGTCTAAACGGGTGGGAGGGGAGATGGATGCAGCCAATGTGGACCACTCAAAATAGATGTGCATCAGTTCAGCCATGGCAAGGAGGAGCTCCTGATCCCCATCCCCAAAACCACCCTATGCCAAACACCCCTTGGCATCACACAGCATTTGCTCTACTTTCTCATAGTCCATCTCTGTTCCTCATGCAGCACCAACACTCACCTCAAAAGCCTTCTTCACCATAAAGCTGGGGCAGATTTCCCTCTACCCTGCATGGAATTCTACCCTCCATCCCTCCCATCATAACATCCCTCCCACCATAACATCATAACTGTGCTCTCCTCAGCACAGGAGAAGGCCAGGGAGCAAGAACTGGTCCTTCAGACAGCCCTGGGCAGGTTTGGGAGGGATGTGCGTGGTTCTGCAAAGCCAGAGTGATGAAGCTCTGCCACCATGTGAAGCTCTGAATGCACGGTGAGGGCTGCAGCTCAGGATGTGTCCAAAGGAGGTTCTCCCTGTTGAAGGAAGGAGGAATTTCCTTATGCATGAATATCCACAGAAATCATTGAAGGGAAGCACAGGGAGATGAGGGGCAAAGCAAGCTGGAGTCTTTCTGGTAGACTTTGCTGCTACCAGAGGTCGGAGAATCCCTCTTCTAAGCAGATAGCAAAGGCTGTGGCAGCACCAGGGCTCCTGGACATCCTTTTATGCACAAGGAAGTAAGATCCATACAAGGATCCTTTCTACTCACAAGGAAGCCATAGCTGTGGAGAGCATCCACCTTCCTGTAAAGCATTACAGGGTGAGAGGCATCACACAGTGTCCTACCCAGCAACGATGTCCGATATCCCAAAGTACCCAGAGAGAGATCAGAGCCCAGTTAAAGCTCTTTGAGGCAGGGGATTTCAGCTGAATACTCACTCAAACCAACAGACCATGGCCTGACCTGTAGCTCGGTGAAGGGTAACTCAGCACCTCCCAGGATAAACTCATCCCATGGCATAAAACCATCCAAACCTCAGCGAAGGTATAAATCGTGCACCTTAATTTCTGCTTTCAGCAACTGTGATTTGTGTTGGGGAATAGCTGTCTGCTGAACAGCCTGGGCAAGGGGAGAGGAAGGGAGATGCGGCACCAGCAAAGCATCCTTCCAAAGGCAGAGATCTGACCAGATGTAGCAGTGCCATGAGCCAAGGAGTGACTCAAGGGAGAGCTCAGCCCCCGGCTTATCCATTCCTCAGCCTTTCCAGCAGTTGCCTCCAGCCAGCAGCAGCAGGGAGAACATTTAGTACATTAATAAACCCCATAATACTGAATGAAGCACTTTGCTTTATGGCTTTGCTATAAGAACTCACCCCTGGATAATTCTAATTAACTGAGCTAGGAAAGAAATGAAGATTTCCTTTTCTATTTCCCCACCAATTTTCTTTTGCCTTTTTTTTTTAAACTAAGATCACCACTGCCAATAAAAATCCTTTCCTGATATTTACCCACCCGGGCAGGAATATTGATCTCTGTGCAGAGAGACAGCGCTTCCCTTATTGCACATGGCGCTGGCTAATCCATCTTTCCTGGCTACAGAACATTGCTCCGGCTTTCTCTCCAGACCAGTTCCATAACTCACTGGTTCCATGATGGTGCCTAACCCCATAACTCCTCAGAGGTGTGGGGAGAGCATGTGGGAAGAGCTTGTTTCCATCCTGCATCAGACTTGACCTCCAACAGCAGGGAGATGCTGGCATCGCTGCCCTGCCCATGTGAAAGCTGCCTGTTGCCTGCACAACAGAAGAGTCCACTGACCTCAGTAAAAGGGATCAGGTGCTTCAGGGTTGTTCCATACACCCAGTAGTGGGTTTAGCTGGAAAAATAAGCCCACATGCAGAGCCATAAGGAAGAACTACCCTGTGAAGGTGATGAGGCACTGGCACAGGGTGCCCAGAGAAGCTGTGGCTGCCCCATCCCTGGCAGTGCTCAAGGATGGGGCTTGGAGCAAGCTGCTCCAGTGGAAGGTGTCCCTGCCCATGGCAGGGGCTGGAACTGAATGAGTTTTAAGGTCCCTTCAACCCAAAGCAGGCTGGGATTCTATGATCCCAGCAGATCATCCCCTGATGCATGCAGCGAAGTGGTTCCAACCCACATCATTCAAAGTAGAGAGGTTTTATTCTCCTTTATTAAAGCACACAAGTAGCCACCTAGGAAATTGTCATTTACAGTGCGGTAACTGGGAAATCATACCAACACAACCAGTGCAGAAGAGAATTAAAGAGCCTGCGCTACAGCCCATCGCAAGCCTTTAACTCCAGAGGCACAGTACAATAAAGCTTTTGCTTTCAGGTTTTTCTTGCTCTTCATATAACAAACTCCACTGAGCATTGAACAGAATGCCTACACACATCCACTGCAAGGGCCACGGAATTACCCAAAAGCTTAGTAAATGCACATTTATTGAGTACTTGTTTATATGAGATTGCTGCAGCATCATCATTATAATAAAATCTGGAGTAAAAAAAAATGCCAAACACTGGTATATATGTATTTTCTTTCCATAGAACATAAATCTGTTAAAAACCCCAAGAACCACAAAGGGAGGGTGGCTGTTCCTTACCCAGCCACTGACAAACACCCTCCTGCTCCCTAATGGCACTGCAAGCAAAGCCCAGTGAGGTCTTCTTCGCATGCTTGAGGGTTGTGTGAGATTTCCTGGTGGATAAACATCCATTGCAAAGTGCTTCAAGTGCCCAGATTTCCTTCCTCCTCCTATAGTAACCAACCCAAGTGCTAATTGCAAAGTTTGCTCTGGGATCCCTCCAGATTCAGCATCAAATTCCTCCCAGCTCAAGCGGTTTACAAGGGATCTGGGTCCTATACGCAAGACACTGGAATGGCATCTATATTTTAAGCCCAGCCATAAAGGGAGACACCCTACATAGAAATATAACATCGGATTCTTTTGTACAGCATATATAAACAACGTGACAGCATTAAAATATTGGCAAACCAATACATTAAAAACACAGGATCTCATAGACCAGAGCACAATAAATATATTCACATGAAATCTGTACAACCCAGAAGACTCTGCTGGTTCTGGCGTTGATGGAGATCATTGCTTTGCTTCCCCATCAGCATCACTGGCCAGGTTGCCCTGGGGCGATGCGCTACAGGGAGAACACAGGTCTGCTATCCCCACCAGCACAGAGGGCACCCAGTGGGAATGCTTCCATTATCAAGTGAAATGATGGAGCATTTCATTTTCCATGAAGCTCTGGCCAACTGGGAGAGGAAAAATCAATCTGTGGTTGGCAGGAGGGTGGTGCCTCAGCAGCATTTCCCACGTCCTCTCAGCATCATGGATCTCATTCTATCAAATAAGTAAGAACCAATAAACCCCCACCTTTTGGATAGTTTGGGCACCACTTATCTCGTGTGGAGCACATGGGATGGGTTTAGGCTGCCCCTCTGACCAGAAATGTCCATATCTTCTGCAGGAGTTGCCCTTCAGACTTCTCCTAAATAGTCATCCCCTGTACATAAATACATGTATATATAGGCCACTTTGTTCCTTCCTCCTCTCCCTGAGGAAGGACCCCAAGGCATGCTTGGCAAGATGAAATCCTACAATACAGCCGTACCTACGGCACTAGAGATGCGTATATACAGACACATTCTGTCCATTATTACAATGGAAATACAGGGTTAAAAAGTGATAGCAGCATGTAAATAAGGATTTGTGTTCACTTTGTGTCTTGTCTTCCTCCTCTTCTGATCCACACTCACCAGTTTTGACAGCCCCTTCTCACCACCAATGCACTGGAGGCAGTGGGTTCTACTGCAGACCCCATCTGCAGGAGCTGGCGTTGTCCTCCCCAGGCTCTCAGCCACAAGGCAGTTTGAATTCCCATTCCCTCAGCTCCCTCCTCTCCCTCCCTGCATCCTTCCTTTCGCGATGACTCATCCTGGAGCTGATCCTGGGTTTTGTCTGATGGCTGCTGCCCACTCTGGCTTCAGCAAAGTCTAATTTCGGAGCAACGCTACAAGAATGAAGTGCCTGGTGAGCCACATGAGCTGTTTGCATCTTAGCTCAGGGACGAAGAGAGAAATGGAATAGTCTGTATTTTGCCTGTCTCCCAGCAGCTAAAGTGTAAGTCCCAGGAGCAATGCCTGGTTTAAACACTTCATTCCCAAATTCTCAACGATGCTGCGAAACCACCGGGGTTTCGCAGCAATCAAAGGGCTGATTTCAAACACGTTCCTCAGCGCAGGGAGCACAGGAATTAAAAATGCATCAATTGGGCTTTTTTCCACCTGCTCCTGCAGATTCCGGTTTTCCCAACCCCCAGCATCGTTTCCTCTCAGTTTTGGAGGTCCTGCTAAAGAGCCGTTATCTGAGTCAGCTCTGACGTGGGGGTGGTTGGACTCTGCTGGGCGACAGCCACCATGGGAATTTCCATGCCTAGTCAGGCCGGATTGTTAGTCCCCTCCGAGTTCTTGCAGGCGTAAGCCACATCCTTGGCGATGCTGCACATCCTGTTGGACATCTGGAGCTCCGTCCTGAAGGCGGTGGGGAAGCAGAACTTCTTGAAGCACGCCTTGAAGTTCTCATCTAGAAAGGCATAGAGCACGGGGTTCAGGCTGCTGTTGGCATACCCGAGTGCAGTGCAGAAGCAGGAGATGGCCAGCTCAAGCTCGCTTTCTGCTTTGGCACCCAAGCATTGGACCAGCACGAAGATCTGGATGGGAGTCCAGCAGACGATGAAGACCGCCACCACCACCAGGACCATGCGGGTGATGCGCCTCAGGTTGCGGTCCTTCTCCTTGGAGCCTGAGAGGACACGGACGTTCTTGAGTCGTCTGATCATGAGACTGTAGCAAATGGTGATGATCAACACAGGGATCATAAAGGAGAAGAGAAAGACACAGATGCCAAACACTGGATCCCAGTAATCCACAGGTGAAGGGAGCTTAATCAGACAATCTATTTCTGCGAGGGGAAAAACAAGAAGGAAAGGAAGGTCAGCAAAACCACAGCAAGAAGAAAAGCATCTGCAGGTTCATTTTAGGCATGTTTAATACAGGAAAAGCAGTAGCAGTGATGCACAAAGACAAAGGCACAAAGAGTTAGGATGGCTTTACAACAGAGAGCTCACCACACCAATGAAAGTGGTACCCCCTCTCCAACACCGCCCCAAGCCCATGGACTCTCCAGCCACCAACACCTCCCACCCGTTGGATGTGTTTTTACTGACCATTGTTTTCATTCTCTGCAGATCCCATCACCATGGCTGGGATGCCAAAGACGGAAGCCAGTGCCCAGATGCAGACATTGACCACTTTGGCCTTGTGGGGAGTGCGGATGTCCAGTGCTTTGATAGGGTGGCAGATAGCAATGTAGCGGTCCACGCTCATCATCGTCAGCGTGAAGGTGCTTGTGAACATGTTGTAGTAGTCTATAGAGATGGCAATCTTGCAGAGGACATTGCCAAAGGGCCAGAAGCCCAGGAAGGTGTCCGTACCCTGGAAGGGTAAGGTCATCAGACACAAGGTATCTGCCAGAGCAAGGTTAAAGATGTAAATGTTGGTTGCTGTCTTCATCTTGGTGAATCTGCAATGTAGGAAAGGACAATGGTTAGAGCTTCACCTGACCATGATGGGTAAGGCATTGAAGCCTAGTGAAGAGGGCATTTTGCCACTTTAGGAAGGAGATAGTCTATATTTCTTACGTAACAAGAGATTCAACACCCTTTCCTTTCCACCTCCCACATGTTTATCAACACGCAGCTCAACCCAGCTCCTACACCACCACAAACAGTGCCTTCACAATCAGTTTCACAGGCAGCAGAAGTATGTTCCTTAGACCATGAAAGACTGAGGCTGTCAACTCAGACCATGAGCTCTGAAAATGCCTTCGGTAAGGATATCATCACATACAGCTTCATTATTATAAATATTGGTGAAAGCTTTACCCAATAAGCTCATTTTAAAGGCATCATATGGACCAGGGGTAAGTTCATTAGCTATTTTGTATAGGCTCACATGGGCCAAAGATGATGGCAAATGCGAGCTACCAAGTAAGAATGGGTAAAGTGGCCAGCTCTGGCCAGTGGCAGCTAAGAACTGGTGAGGAATGAGGTTTGTATCAGAAATACAACACCACAATGGTTCTTTCCAACCAAGGGGATAGTTTGCACATAGAGGCATGAGTTGAGTTGACTTCAAAGAGTTTTGTCAATGCCAAAAGGACAAAGCACAGAACATATTCTGTATTAAGTCTGACAACCCCAAAGGAAGATTCACCTTGTTCCAATGGCAAAGCATCTCCTTTTTTACACATAGGAAAGGATGCAAAGAAAGATGCGGTCAGCTACCCAAGGACACATGCAGAGTCTGCAGAAATGAGAACCCAACAGTGGTTCTGCGACCGAATCTTACACTTCAGCTCCAAGATGTTCCTCTCACAAGCAAAAGAAGAGCTCAAATAGGTATAATTTTAAAACTACAGCTCATCTATCATTTACTACCCTAATGGCCTTTACAGAACCGCTGCCAGAAATGGCAGACAATGATGTGTGTTATTAAGGGAGGACAAGTTCATCCGAGGGTAACACCTGAGCCCATAAACCACGGCGCTGTCTTCAGTCTGATGCGTGTTAGATTATTACAGGCTCTGATTATACCTAAAAAGCTCTTTCTTGTCAAATGGATTCAGAGCAGCAAACCCACAACCGTACTCAGCACCGTGCCCTCCCCTGATGATCGGAGCTTTAGCTCTTGATAGGCTATTTGAATGCTTAGAGGAACATTACCACTGCCATGCTCTGAACTCTGCTGAGATGCACAGTGACATAGCCAGGCTTGCAAGAACAACAGCCAGGGGATCCATGATCCAGAATACAAAGTCTGTATTTTTACCCCTTTTACAGCTTGTATTAGAAGTCAGATGTTTGAAAGTGGCTTCAGAAGCAAGAACAAATGATCCTATATTTGACTTTGAAAGCCAAAGTGAAGGGTTTGGAGATGGACATTGATGGCAACGCTTGTGTTACCCACACAAATCAGGCTCCTCCTGGCCCAGAAATCCCAGCAGACAGTGGGTTCTTAGAAAGCTACCCCAGATCAAATGAATTCATATAACCAAAGCAGCAGAGGAAAAAACACCCTTGTCCTTCCTATTGTGAAGGTGTGAACAAGCACTCTGCAAACCCAACACAACCAGGCAGCTGCCAGGGTTTTAGTGTCTGGGACTTCCTAAGCAGAATTACACAGGAGCAGGGAGAGAAGATGGTTCTGTGAATGGATTCAGCCACTTCTGGGTCAGCAGGAGGGGAATTCAAATTAAGAAATGAAATCAGTGCTCTTCATCAGCGCACACAGAAAGAAGTATTGTCAGCTCAGCTCCAGGTTATTCAGAGCCATCTAAAACTGTTAGCAAAGGTCTCCTGGGAGCTGTTGTCTTCCTCAGCATCTCTCAGAGCCAGCTGGGCTTGCTCAAGCTTCCTGAAGGTCAAGTTTGTTCCAGTCCATCTTTCCCAGAGGACTGGCCTTGGAGGCAATTCATCAACATTGCCTCTAACCCCCACTGCTTTAACTGATGTTATAACTGGAGGGAATTGGAACTGGATGATCTTAAGGTCCTTTCCAACCCTAACTATTCTGTGACCCTATGAATAACAGCTGAGGGTTGGAACAGTGATGAGCAACTTTACTCTCCAGTGGGAGAAACAGTGATCCACCTACCTCTACGACCCATCCAGCATCCATAGAGGACAACACTGCCTCCACGCACACTCCTGCATCCCTAGCACAGAGACAAGTTAGGGGCATCTCAGCTCACCCTGAGCCTGGGCTGTGCGGATTGCAAACCTTCAGCTCCCCCCATTGCAGGGACCTCACTGGTACCCCTCCTTCAAAGCCCTTCTCAACAAGGAGATGCAGTCACTCAGCCTGGCCCTGTGAAACCTGCGCTCCCTCCATGCGGACCCACCTTCAAGGGCATTTTAAGGTTGATTTTGTGCTCTTAAAAGGCAGGGAGATTAATTTACACCTATTTAATTACTCTTAGCTCCACTTCCTGTGCACGCTGAGCCAACAGCCTGTACCCCATCCAACCACTGTTCCCCAACATTTCCAGAATGTTCAGTACAAACAAAAAAATCAATCCATCACTTCTCTGTGGATTAAGCTCCTTTTCTTCTCCTGCAGGAACCAAGAGTGTTCTCTTTTCTTAATCTCCTCAAAGGAAAGACAAATTAAACCCTCAGGCTTTAGGAAGCACCTACGGCTGCCCCCCATGGCACAGCTCCGATGCAGATAAGGCTGTGGACAGATGAGGACAGCAGCTCCCTGCTGAGCCACTTTCTTGCACTTGGTCACAGAGGCTATTTCCTAATGGAGCATCTCCCCCAGGGCAGTTCTCAGCTCTCCATCCAGCTCCAGAAGTCACCACGCTGCTCTGCTCTCCTGTTGGCCAGCCTAAGAGGAAAGATGGCTGGATATGAGCTCAGGACTCTGCTGCCCCCTCTTTTTGGCTAAATGCATCTTAAGGAGTACTACCTGGAACAAAGCTCTGCATCAGCAAGGGGAACCTGCAGTCTGGGACAGGAGGAGATGGGTAGGAAGGAAACGGCTCTTCCACACATGGGGCTTTGAGGTCCTGTTTCTCACAAGGACGGATTTTGTCCCTGGCTGAGCCCTCAGGGTTTTGAGCTATTGTTTTAGCATCACTCCTTCCTTTCCACCCAGCTGCAGGGCAGCAAGCAGCTCCTGATGCCCCAGGCTAAGGACCAGGAAGTACAACCCAAAATGGGGCTACAGACACCAGAGCAAAGCCTTGGACCATGAGCATTATCCCCAGGAGCTCCCTGCCTCTCAGAGCCTCTTGATTTCGATGTTCTTTGTTCATCAGGATGCAGACAGCGCTGTTCACCTCGAGCGGCAACCTCCATCACCACACCATGGCATCCGTGGCAGCCTTTGCCACCAACCTTGGACACACACACAGAAGGAAACCAGAGCAGAAAAGGCTCAGAGAGGATTCTCGCTGAGCTGCTCCCACTCTGCCAATGGAAATCAGTGCAGCTCCCTGCCACCTCTGCGCCCAACCTGCTCTTAGCACCCAGGCTGCAAGAAGGTGGTGTTTGATCTGGCACATCCCACTGTGATTTGTGCGTCCCCCCAGCCATACATCTACACCGTGCTCTCTGTATCGCTGCTGCTCCCATCACCACCTGACAGCCCCCAACAACACCCAAATCAAGACGGTTTCTTCTTCATGGTTCAAAAAACAGACAATTTGAGAAGGACAAGTTTAAAACTGCTTTGGACTTCGACCCAGCTGCTACAACAAGAGACCATAACACCAGCACATAAAAGCCTATCAATGACCTGGCAGGCTGGTGAGTGACCAGCAGGGGTTAAGGGGCCTGGGCCAGCCAGGGCGAGCACCCACACTTTGGACAGATGAATGCCTTACCCTTTGAGCCCTTAGGTGACAGCAAGGAAAAACAAGCTCTGCCCTCCCTCCTTGAGGTGCTCCCCAGGGACTGGTGTGGATGGGGCCATGACACGGCCCCAGTTGCTGCTGTGCAGAGGGCAGAGATTGGGTGGTTGCTGCTGCAAAAGCCTCTGCAACCGGTCCAGGGGCTCACACATCCCTGAGCAGGTGCCTGGTCACCAGGATGCTGCTTTGGTCATAGAGGGCATTCATCAGCATCCATCCTGCAGCAAGATGCTCTCATCCCTGCTCATGGGCCAGGTCTGCCTGTGCTGAACTGCTCATGCCCTGAATGCTGCTGGGGATTGCCCAGACCCTGAAAGAGCACTGGGAACCGAGTCCCATATTAAACACCATGGAATTACTGCTCCACAGGGGTAACACCCTTACACTCACCCCACCGAGAGCCCTCCAGCACACACTGCAGACACAAGGGTCAGACACAGCTACTGTGAGCCTTTTTCTTCCAGGGAAAGCTAACAGAGGCAGATGTGGAGCCTGCTGAGGTCTTAGATGGCCCCACCAGCACCCACCAGGTCCACGCTGCATCAAACACTCACTCAATTTCAGCTCCGGGACACGCAGCTGGTCGAGGCTCTTCCCTTAGAAAGCTGTCTGTTAGGAAAGCAGCATCCCTGCAAGGTCCTAATTAACTTCATTTTCCTCATCTCCTCACAGACAGATGCCCCCACCCCTGTTCTCAGGGCCTGATGCAGTTTGTAAGCAGAGCAACAGCTGGCACAGCCGCCCGGTGCAGGCAGCTCCCCATCACATCTCAGCTCTCCTCCTAAGGCTTCACCTGGAAGCAGCAAATGGAAATGTAGGGTCCTGCAGCCCTATTCTGCCTGAATACCTGCTTTAAACGCTCAGAAGCAGAGGTCTTCACTAGGGAGAGCTGAGCAGCTTCACTGGGCTCCCACAGATTGCTTCCATGGCAAAGAAACAAGGCATCATTCCCATGGGGGCTGATCCAGGTGAGCAGAGCCAACAGTGGGGAAGTCCTCTGGATGATCACTCCTGAGCACCACAGCATGACGGAGCTAGGGATAACAGAGGGCTTCCTGGACCAGAAGCTGCATGTTGGCCCTGGTCCCTTCCCTGGCACACTGGTTTCTCATACCCCATGCAGCAACACCGGGGTCAGCATCACCTCCAGCCCCATGGGTCAGCCAATGGAAGAACAATACATCCCTCTTCCCCTTTGCTTTCACTCCTAAAAACAAAGCTCTTGGCCAGCAGTTCAGTCCATAACCAAGAGGGACCACAGCAGCCTGGATTCCCCCCCAGTCTCCCCCAAACCCTCTCTGCCTTGTGCTCTTCACCCCTTGTTTCACATCCATTAAAAAGCAGCACAGGAAATCTGTGCAGAAGAGAGCAAAGAGAGGAAGGGGAAGGAGGGAGCGGAGGCATTATCTCCACTGGCAAGAGCTCCACAATGAGCAAGAACAAAGCCACAGACAAGGCAGGTTTCCACAATAGGCCCTTTACTGTCCAGGAAATCATGTTCTTGATGAGAGCTCTTCTTGGTCTCCTCCAATTAGTGCTGCTCAGCACTAGAAGGGGATTGACAGTCAGCTCATGACTGCTCTCTATAGATTAAATCACTCCAGGTAGCAGAGGGGAGGCTTTGCATTTGTATCCTTGTGGGAAATATGGGGACATCTTAAACGCTTCCCCTTGGTGCCACAAAACACCCATCCAGGAGGAGCAAACCCCAAACCTTCCTCACGCCTCCTCTTTCCTCAAGTGCTGGTACTGGCCTCTGTTTCCCACCTCCCACAAAACCAGGAAGCAATTACTGCTCATGGTCCTGAAGCATCCTGGAACACAACACAGCGTTTTCCTATGGGATGTGAAATACAAGCATGGAAAGGGAAAGCGAAAACCAGGCTTTGTAGGGTACACCCTATCTACAGGTGACAGGGATGCAGCACAGAGGCTTTGCCAGTTAATGGAAGAGATAGACCATGAAGACCCGCAAGCCCCATGCTGACTTACCAGCAACCAGCTTCCAACCTACTGAAATAAAGATGCTTTTAAGGCAGGAAACCCAGAAGCACCAACGCTCCGGTTTGGGGAGGAAAACGTGTGCTTGAGAAGTCATCATCATCCTCCTGTACACGGCTAGAGATACTGAGTCCCGTTTCTCTGCTCCTGACCTCAAAAGTAAGGGCAAAGAGAGCAAAATCCTGGCCAGAGATAACCAGAAGTTGTAATTATGGAACCCAGAAGGGTCATTTCCCTGGGTATAGCCCAGTGTTAGTCTCAGGTTAGTACTGAACCCCCAGGACACACTGATGGGGAGACCCAGCAGCTTGTACAAATGCCTTAACTCTATGGCTTCCCCAGCACACATTATCCGAGGGTCCCCTCCAGGTTCATATAGAAGTTTTTTTTGGTGAATCCCCCAAAAGAATTACCCAAAAAATTGAACTTTTCCTGGCTTTTTTTTGCATATACAGAGGGTTCCAAATAAAAGGGAAAAGGAAGGAATGGCAGAGCCCTAGCAAAAATGGAGGTGACATCTTCAGTTTTCAACTGCTTCCAACCAGTAAACCCAGAAGGCACAAGCACAAAGGTTACACTTCAAGGGTCACATGTGGGGTAGGGACTCCTCATCCCTCCACACACCCTGGTTGGCATCGCTGTGGGACAAGGGATTCTCCCTCCCAGAGCCTCGCTACCCGCCACATGTACATGTACCCACTATCACCCTGCCTACTCGAGGGACTGCTACAGCACCAAACAAACACAAGCTCTTCCAGTGGAGCACTGGTGCACTGCCAACCTCTCTCCATCTCCAGGCTCCCCAAGGCTAACGGGATCCCTTATCCCTGCCATAAACTCCTTGGCAGGAGGAACACGGACAGGCAGCCTGATGAACATCATAGAATCACCATAGATGGTTTGGGTTGAAGGGACCTTAAAGCTCCTCCAGCTCCAACCCCTGCCACGGGCAGGGACCCCTTCCACTGGAGCAGCTTGCTCCAAGCCCTGTCGCTCTGCCCTTGTAACAGAGATTTAATCACTGTTCACCAACCTGTGATACCAAAGACTTAATCCTGCAGCATCTACCCCAGCCAAGTTATGTGCATCCAAGGGATGCTGCTTTGGCAGGAGCAAGACTTAATCCCACCGGTGCCTGCTAAATGTTTTCATCCTCTGTTGGAGGAGAAAACAAATCCACTCCGTCTTTTCTATGCTGGCAGCATCCACCTGCACCAGGATGTGTATGAAATGGAAGCTCACTCCTTATCACACATGGTACTGAGATCAGAAGGAGTTTGCTGGTGTGTGACACAGAATCACAACCTTAAGAGCTGCATAAACTTACTTGGTACTTACAGGAGGAAACAGGGTTTGATTCGAGGAAATAGAATTAAAGCACAGCAGAAGCAGGCAGGGACACTCAAAATGCCAGGAGTGATGTGCAGGGAGGCTGCAGGACAGTGCTGCTGGGGTGGTGAATGCTCCAAGCAAAGGAGCTTGAGAAGTTGCCCTCAACTCTGCAGCACGCCATCGCATCATTCACATCTATGGCCTCCAAAGAGCTGGGGGAGTCACACCAGTGTTTCCCCCCCTGTAAAAGGGAAGCTGAGCCTCCCAGCAGCCTCCTTCCCTTACAATTAGCTTTGGGAAGCAGCAGCATCCCGGTGGAGCAGCACCTGCATCCACAGCTGTGGTGCTGGACATGGCACAGGAGGGAGAGGTCCCATGGCAAGTCCAGCAGTGGGATGCTCCCATCACACTGCCCTCCCTGGCTCCCTGCAAAATAAAGCCTCGTTTCTTTTGAGCAGATCTGATCGCTCTGTTCCATTCTCTGGGTTTAACTTTAGGAGGCACCAGAGGGCAGCTGAAAGCTGGTGGGAGCCTTCATCAGAGCCTAGGAAGGGAAAAAAAACACACAAACAAAACCAAAGCAATAAAGCAAATGCCACATCATTACCTCTAAAGCACATTGCAATGGCCAGGGAAGCGCCTGCCTGCTTCACCCACAGCAGGGGTTTGGAGCGAGGGGGAAGGTTTGCCCTGCTCACAGCCCTCCCCAGAGCCCCCCCTCATTGCGTGTCCTACCTGATGATCACATACATGACGGAGCAGTTGCCCACCAGCCCCACGATGCACACAATGGAGTAGACAACCACAATGGTGATCTTGATGCTCAGGGGCAGGAAGCTGTCCCCCGTGCCGTTGTTGAACCAGTTACTGGGCAGAAAGCTGAGGTTCAGCATAGAGGAGTCATTCAGCAGCTTTCTCAGGTCAGGGTCTTCCAAAATGTGGGCAGGGAAGAGCGGGTCCATCCTGAAGCATCAGCTTGTGCCAAGGACCTGCAGCGCTGAAGAGACAGTTGTAAGACCCACCGAGCCAACGGGTAGCCCAGGACCAGAGCAAAGCGTGAGAGGTGCTGGAGGAGAAGGGCGATTCCCCCCCCCCCCCTTTCAAACCTCCCTATGAAGCGGTTTTGGGGGATGCAGCCCCAGCGCTTGGTGCATCCCGAGCACGCAGGGAGCTCACGCACGTCTCCGCACCGCATCCAGGGCCATGCGGGCTGCACCGCGCCAGCCCTGCATGCTCCAACCCTAGCCGCTCAGTGCCCGTATCCGCCTTTGTGCCCCCGGGCCCCCCGCTCCGTGCCCCCCAAGAGCTGCCGCAGCCTCCCACCGGAGCAGGGTGGGGGGGGCTCGTCCTGCTGCTGGTGCACAAACACCCCCCCCCTCTTCCTCCATCCCCGTAACAGGGCAAGAAAAGCCCGAAGTTGGACCCAAGCCCCCTCTGGCCGCTTACCTGGGTGGGGGTCTCCGGTTTAACGCCGCATCCAGGCAGCAAGGATGGGGATAACGGCGGTGGTGTTGGGGGGGGCGATGCGCTGCTCTCGCAGGCGGGGATGCAGGGGCTGCACCCCGATCCCACGTTTTTAAGGAAAAGGGAGGGATAGGGAGGAATGGGAGGGAGGGATGAGGGCGGACGGCGGCTGGGCAGAGCCAGCCCCGGCTGCTGGCGGCTCCCACTGCGTAAGACACAAGCGGGGGGGGAAGGAACAAGAAAGGGGGGGGGGGGGGATAATAAATAACCAGAGGCACCAAATGGAAAGCGAGCCACGGGCAAAGCACACACACACACACACACACACACACACACACACACCGGCCCCTCCATCACCCCCCCAACCACAGCCCCTCAGCCTACCTGGGGTGGGCTCCAACCCAATGGGAAGGGACTGAAGGGGGAGAAGACAAATTCCTCCCTCCGCTTGCACTGTGCAAGCTGGGTGCTGTGCTAGGGAGAAACGGGATGGGGAATCTGACCTAGAAACTGGCAAAACCCCAAGGAGGGCGGCGAAGCACCGAGGGGGGGGTTGTTGTTCTATAGCGTTCGTGTAGTGGCATTCGCTAAAGGTCATTTATGTGCAAGCTAACGCATCCTGCAGATGGGATCAGAGCTGGAGTAGCACCTTTATGTTGAGAAGCTGCAGTGGTGAGCTCGTTACCTCTGCATGGGGGCACCCGCACAGTCCTTGCTCTTCCCCATCTGGGACATTAATCCTGATGGACTCAGTGCCCCAGAGCCCCCAGGTAAGCTGCCCCCCCGACAGACCCTTGGGGTCCAGCCCCAGTTTGATCCCAGATGAGGCACAGAGTAACTGCTGAGAACTGGAGCTTCATGGTCTTGTGCCCCCGAGCATCCCTGAAGATGCCTTTCCCCAGCAGTTTATAGGGCCATAAGCAGAGACACATGGGGCAGAACCAGTCTGAGGCACATCCCTACTGCCCAGGACATGGAGAAAAGGAAAATGAGCTCTTGGGCATCACATGCTTCAGAGAGCGCAGCACAGACACAGCCCTTGCTGCTTTAACAGACGTCTGGGGTGATTTAGCACAGAAGCTGCACCTTCTTTACAAGGAAGGTAACAGTATGGTATGGTCACACGTTGTACTTGCCCTGAATGCGTCCCTAAGATCAGGTCACCGCTCTGACAGGGAACAAGGGATAAAAGCCTGACCCAGGGATGCAGCCTTGTGAAAGAGAGCAGTGCTGGTGCTTGAAGGAAGGTTGGGGGGTTTTTATCACTCCATTAACGAGAGGGTGTGAAATAAAGACGAGAGCAGGCATTAATTGTTAATGGATTGAGTTTCAAAGGCTGAGGGAAGGAGAGCAGTAAATCAGTGCGGGCAGCCCAGGAGCCTACGGGAAAAGAGCACTTGGAAATGCAGCTCCACTCCTCTCTGCTGGCTCCCACCCCACGGAATGCACTTAGCCCTCCACATACTCACTCTGTGTTAATTCAAGGCAGCGAAGACAGCATGTTCACCTATTTGTCTTGTGGTTCTTGCTTTGACTCACAGCGCAGTGCTTTGGAATGACTCCCGTAGAAAGGGATCAGCGTTGCCACCTTGAACTACCGACAGCCAAGACATGTTTAGTGTCTGGAACAAAAGCTCCTCCTCCATCCATCTCCATCCATCCATCTCCACACTGCTCAGCCCTGGCCTCTTGGATGGGAAAGAGCCCACGATGTTCATGCTGCACCTTCAGTCCCACTCCTGCTGTTTCACCTGATTTCACCCCAATCCCAATTCAACCATGAAGATTTGTCCTTCCAGCACATCTCATGGTCTCTTCTGCTCTCCTCAGGATCCCTGGGATGAGAGGAGGACAGAGCCATCCCAAGAGCATGACACCTGCCAGATTCCTTCCTCATCAGAAGTCTTCCCCTTGTCCATTGGGGTCTATCCACAAAGACTAAGAAGGAAGGCCACCAAGATTTCATTGTATGACCCAGAAGGACTTCTCCAGCCTATTTCATAGAGAACCACATCAGCTCCTCTGCTTGCAGGTTTCTATGCAGACAGCAGGGAAACAGGAGCCAAAAAAGAACCAGCCAAAAATGCAACCCTCCTTCCAGGTGATGATGGTGAAGGAAGTGCCCACGAAGGCAGCGGGTGACACACCATGAAGAGATGCCGAGTTTACAATAGAGCATCCCAAGCATCAATGTGCAAGTCAAAACCACATTCCTGGTGCAAATACCCTCTTTTTCCTCAACCCCACTTTCCTTTGAATATGCACAAAATAAGACTCAAAACTACACAATTCTGATGAATGTGGCAATTAAAATATCCATTAAAGAATTAAAACTTGTATGAAAATAAGCTTTGGGCATATATGGAGGTGCTTTTGGCATATTTTCAAAGGCTTATGCTATAAAAAACCCGTATCTGCAGCCCAAGCAGGCTGTTCTCTGCTTGGTTAATAGATATATGTTGGCAGAGGCAGGACCCTGGGCTTCCCCATATACCTACACCATATCCATCTCCAAACGCGTGAGGAGCATCAGTCCAGTCTGGGGTGAACAACCCTTATCTATTTCAAGCTAACCCAGCTCAAGTGTCACCAGTTCCATGTACAGCTGTTCCAACCAGGTTGACTTTGCAGCCACTGCTCCTGAACGTGGAGGATTTCTGCTGCTTGGGCAGGAAGCAGCCCACAGCCACCTGCATTCCCTACCCGCAAGGTGCTTTTCCTGCCTCTCCTTGCTGAAGGGGAAGGCAGCTGCGTCTCTGAGCTGGTTTCCCACCTTCAGCCCACTTTAACCAAGGCCATCAGGAGCAGAGATTTAATACTGCAAGATGGGAAATCACTTCTCATGCAGGGAACAAGAGCCCGGGCTGAAGAGGAGAGGAAGGAAGGATGAGGAGGATGTGGAGTGCGCTTGGAAGAGCTGGGAAGCAGAGGTTCAAAATGCAGCTGCCACTCGGGACGGGCACATAGCAAAACTAAATAGCTAAATTGTGCCATGGTGGGTGAGATGTGGTTTATGGACAGTAACGGTCATACAGGAGACATCAGTAACAGTCTTCCAATGCCTAAAGGTGGCCAACAAAGCTGGAGAGGGGCTTTGGACAAGAGCCTGTAGGGACACAACAAGAGGAATGGCTTGAACCTGCCAGACAGGGAGACACACACCTTCATTTCTCCCATCACTGTCCACACCACAAACACCAAACCCATCTCTGTTAATGCACACATCCTCCACCCATCAAAACTGATGGTGCTCACAGTGCGTTACCATTGGCGAATCCATCCATAGAGCTCAAGCTGTTTGGTAGGATGAGAAACAGATGTGACTTCCAGGTATATCTGTTATTTGCTGTTAAACATTTAGGCAAAGAAAAAGCACCAAAACTCTTGTTTTTCTCACTTTCCAGTATTCTTTTACCTGCTCAAAATCCCCCAGCTCACCCCTCCAGCAAGACAAGCATCCTCAGAGCATTCCCTCTGGTTCCTCATCGCACCCTCTTCAGCCTTGGCATCTTGAGTGCTTCCCCGAGCTCTCTGCTCACCCTCAGCTTTCTGGGTTTATGAAGCATCTGCACAAGTCAAGGAGAGCCCAACTCCAGCTCAGGGTAGCTGTGGCTTCCCCAAGGTCAGCGTTACAACAAGTCCTTGAGCATCGCTGCTCCCTTCATGGGGTCAGCACTGAGCAGGAACATTAAGTGTATCTATGGCTGAGCAGGCAGAGCACTAAACACTAAGGCAAACCATTAAACACTAAGGAAATCAGCAGAGCAGGTACTGGGTTTTAGTGGGGAATGAAAGAGAAACTGCATTACAGCTAGAAAAGTGAAAGCAAGGGGTATTTCCAGCGCTGGAAAACCTGCAGAACAGGCATGGAAAATGATGTCAAGGAGGGTCAAGCCATGGAAGAGCAGAGGGAAGTCACTGCTCAGCCTCACACCAGCTCCAGAAGAGCGATCAAGTGATCCCAGTACATCCCATCTACTCATGGACTGAGCCATACGTACAACCCCAGACACTTGCCCACAGCCTTTAGCTGAAGCCAGCAGAGAACAGCAACTGAGCTCATCCATCCCCGCATCCCCAGCAGGCAGCTCCATCTGCCTGCTCTGCCAGAGCCATAGGGTCAGTGCCTGCATCTCCCTGTACCCTGAAACCCCAACACTGCTCCTGGCTGACACTTCCCTGCCCACTCCTGCAGCTGCAGGCAAGGAAATGATCCATAGGAACAGGCATATCACACAATGAAAGAACATCCTGCAAGAGCCAGCCGACCCCAGGGGCACCCGACCTGGCTGACAGAGCTGGAGCCAATCGATTCCTCTTTCCAAAATAGCAAAACAAGTGTAATTCATTCCCATTTAAAGCACAATCACAAAGGAAATCTTTCCGCTTCTCTCCTATCCATCTTTACCCTTCCATTTCCTTTCCAGCTCCCAAAGCCCTGGAATTCCCATGCCAACAAATACATCAACTCCTGCTACGTTCCCCGGGACCACGAAGTGGGAGAAGAAAAAGGCATTTAGCTCTCAAAACCCAAGCATGAATTTACAGGAAGAGATGCTTCAGTTCTCTTCCAGTCTCTCCCATGTTTGCATGACTTGGTCAACATCCAAAGCACAGCAACCACCAAGACCAGAGGGGTTCCAGACCCCATTAAGGTACAAGGTCCATGGGAAGGAGAACAACCAGATGCACTTCATGCCAGAAGCCACCTGCCTTTTGGGAGCCTGATCCTCACTACTTGGAATGATTAGAGGGGGTCCTGCTTTCACCAAACACCCATTTAGAGCAGAATCCCTCAAGCTCTAACAGAGGAGAGTACATGATGCGACCCACTTCACTGGTATTGTATTGCTTGCCACCATTATGTCCCATTTCCCAGAGACTGAACGAGTTCCTTCACTTTCTCCAGGCAGAAATCCCTCTTTGTCCTGGTTATCCCTTCACCCAAGGCACTGATTTCTTTCACCAATCTGGGAATAGGCTCCCAGTATCCCAGGGTTCACTACTTGGGCATCCCCAGAGCCCAGAGGCTGAGCGAAGGGTCTCTGTTTTAGGGAAAGGCAATGGTGGGTACCTGATTTACACAGACACTCAGTAGGAAACAGAAGCAGATGATGAATTCAGAGCCTCCGAGCTCCATCCCAGCACTTCAACCTCTTATCCCTTAAGGAGGAAACCACCCCTATGCTCAGATGGCAATTTGCACAGAGGTCTTTCAAAGCAAGGATCTGCTCATCCCCTCAGTGCTGCAGTCGCTTTACACAGCAAACAGCTTTGAGAGCAGCAAATCTGCAGCAAGAAGCCTATCATCAAGATACCCAGCATCTATTTGCTGCTTGTTTCCTTCTGAACTTGCTTTCCCCACCAAGACATCCCTCAAGATCTTGCTGTTACTTGGATCAATAGCAGCTGATGCCTGCCAAACCACCCCAGAGCACGTTGTTTCCCCAGCTTTAACCCACCTAAATGCATTCACAGCAGCTTTCCCTTGTTCCATGCTCTAGCAAGAGGCAACAATAGCTGTTTACTGAAAATTCCAAGCAACTGCAGAGGGAAATGTATCCCCAGCAGTTTTCCCAAGGAATGAGTATCTGCCTTGAAAAAAGGCTCCAGCCTTTAGCAAAGCTGCAAGCAGGAAGAGCCATGAGCAAGGTAGAGGATGTGCATGCAAATACCATGCCACCAGCAGCAGCTCTGCAATGTCTCCTCACGTATGCTGTTGATGTGGCTGTCGGGCTCGCTCTGATGCCATGCAAAGAGCCATGCCAGAAGCACTGTGCATCCCAGCTCCCCCTCATTGTATGTGGGATTGAGACTCCACAGCCCTGCTGGGAGAAGCTGGTCCCAGCAAAGCTGGGCTGCTTCCCAGGAGCCAAACCCCAGGGCCTGGAGGGTGGACAGAACAGGAAAACACAGCTAAAGGTGTGCTGCAGAGACAGCAATGGATGCACCCAGCCCTGCCTGCCCACAGGACCATAAGGACACATGCATTGGGTGTGCAGGGGTGCACTGGTGACCATGAGAGGGGATGTGCAGCACCCTGGGCTGCTCAGCTCTCACTCCCAGCTATGGAAACTGCACCATTCCCCCATAAAACCAATATTTAACCTTACCCCAAGCCAAAGCCTTACCAAGAAACTGCTTGGTCCCACCAGAAACAAGCCCTTCACACCACCAAATCCCCTTCCCTTTTATCCCTCCATCCACCCAATCCACACCACCTGCACTCATCACAGGATGAAACTGTCCCAATTACAGCCTCAGCAAAACTCATTGCACAAATGATACAGCAGCAGCTTGGGAATGGGGAGAGGTTTTTAAACCTGGGTCAGCAAAAGAAGTGATGCTGGTACCGATGTGTGTGTGATTGAGCCAGGTTTTGAATGTGAAAGATTGTGTGAAAAGACCCTGAGAAACACATAACCTGCTACAGCTTCCTCTTCTAAAGGTGAGAAGTTGTGGGAAAGGTCTCTAGGAAACAGATATCCTACCACACTTTTCACTCTCAATAGTTGCTCCTCATCCCCTGCTTCCCCTTCGGCTCAGCCCAAGGAGCAGTTGAGGAAGATGCTGGAGGTGCTGAAGATGTGCTTCATCGCAGCAGGAGCCTCAGAGAGTTGTATCAGATGCTTCTCAGAGTTGAAGAGACCGAGCCCTTCCTGATGGGTGACCCACTGCAGAGATGGTCCATCAGTCCCTAACCATCACATCTCACACTGGCGGGGTCCAGCTGCACTTTGGCACTTCATCCTCCCTTCAGACACATGGAGATGCTCCTGCAGCCTGCCCCCAGCTCAGTCCCAGCTTCTGGACCTCTCATTACTTCTCCTCAGGACCATTTTTCTTCGTATCTTCTGCCTTTCCCAGCCTTGCACCCTCCATCACCTTCACCGAGGCGGTGTCAGGCTGAGTCCATCTCCCGGAGCAGCCCGAGCTCAGTGCCCGAGGCAGGATCTGCCAGCTCCAGTAATCACAGCAATGAGGATTGACTTTTCCCACCGTGCTTCTGCTGCAGAAACCCAGACGCTGCTGCAAACCCATTTGTGAGATGGATGGAGGAGCAGAGAAAACAGCAGCCCGGGGCTAAAACACAGGAGGTGAGAGGAAAGGAGCATCCCAGAGAGGTAAAAACATCTCAGCCTTGCAAAGTGCCTTTGCCATTCCAGAGGAGATGCAGTCATGGGAGCTGCCCAAGTCAAGGGGCATCTGAAACCGTTCTGCATTGAGGATCTGCAGGTGAGAAGAGAGACTTGAGAGCAAAAACCCTCTCCCAGAGCTTTCAAGAACTATATATATGCATTTCTAAAGGCCCAAATAATCTAAAGCTTAGTTGAGGTCTTCTCTTTATCCGAGATCCCCTACAAACCGCAGCATCACCTCATGCTATCGTTTGGATTCATGAAAATCCAACTGAGGGCTGAGGAAAGGGGGAAAGAAGGGAAATGGCTTTTTCACCATTGCTCCTGGAGCTCAGAGGCCATCAGACTTCTGGAGGTTCAGGTCTGTGCATTTCTGCAGCCTCTGATCTTTCAGATGAGATGGATTAGGTTTTACAGCATCCTCGGAGTTGCTTCTCCTGATTTTAAACGAGACACTAAAGCAGTTCAGTGCCACTGTCACCAAGGGTGGCTGTTAAAATGTGCCCGAGGATGCCTTTTATTGCCTCCTCGTTCTGAATCTGAGTACGACAGCCAAATCTAAATGATTTAACAAGCCTGCCTTGTAACTGTCCTCCTTTCCCTTGTTTCCTTCATTGAAGCCTTGCAATAATGAGCCATTACAGAGCAGCACCCACGCACCCCATTAAAACCCCTAAAGCCTGGTTTGCACCTCCAGCCCAACACGTCCTGGGTTTGCAAATCCCACTGGAACCAGCAGGTGATGCTGAAGCAGAAAACATGGAGCTCCTCCTGCCTTCTATTAGGCTTTTATTTGCCTTCCATAAAATTCATAAGTGGGAAAAATAGTGTGATGTTGGTGGGGGACTTAGAAAGTGTAGGATATAAAATGGTGACATGTACCATATGGCTTCGTTCTCACTGTCTAGTCAGCTCTTCAATCCCATAGACACGGGCTTTTTCACATCTAGGATAGAGTGAGGGCACCTGAACTTAAACAGGACCTTTCCTCTAGTGGGATTGAAGCTTTCCTTGAGCCGACCTTCCCGCAGCACTTGCAAAGCCCCAGTGCTGCATTCCCTGACCTCACTTTGTCATTCCCAGTGTGTGACAGACGCCACGTGTCCCCTTCCAAGCCTGCAGGTGTTGAACAGTGCAGGAAGCAGCTGAGTTGGGAGCAGATGCTCGTGCTCAGCATCCTACCAACCTCTAGTGCTCTGTTCTGCAGACACAAGGTAGCAGGTAAATGACCCTGTCTAAAGCAAGAGGTGGCTTCTTCCCTTCCTCATCAGCAGTTTATGGGAGTCACACTGATTTGCAAGTCTCCCTGGAGAAATCACCTTGATGGCCTTCCCTTGAAGCTTGAACACTGCAAGGGGCAGCAGCGCTACAGATGCATCCCTCTGGGTTGTGTTTTGCTTTCAGCGCTCGAGATAATTCTGCATCTAAATATTGCAGCTGAAATCTCTGCCTGTGAGATTGTGCTTATGAGATAAAAAGAAGGAGGAATAGATACGGCATCATTAAATATCAGCAGAATACATTGCTGTTGCCAGTGTTCCCCGAGAGACATAAATGCTCCACCATCCTCTCCAACACCCCACCACTGCTCACCTCCCATCGCCAGCAAGCCATATCTGGCCAGCCCTGGCCCCATCCAGATGTGCAGCCACCACCTCATCCTCCCTATTTCCACACCAGTTGATACCCACCAGTAGGCACAGCCCAGCTGATGCAGTGGCATCCTCACCCTATAGACATTCACACCTAAAATCAGGGCAGAACCCATCCCTAGTGCCCTACTTGTCACCCACCTTCTGTTACCATCATCCCAGTGATGTGCAAAGCATCACATGGACTAAGAGGCTTTTGCCATTTAATGGCTTTTGGTCTGCTGATGTAGCCCCAAGAGGGATAACTTGTTTTACTCCCCTGACCATCCCTTGGCTTTTCCCTTCCCTGGCAGCTCAAGCATGCCATACGAGCTAATTCTGTTCAGGCAAAACCTACAAATCAAATCATAGCTTTACCAGAAACACGAAACTGTGGAGAAGAGACACTTGACAGGCAGCTCCCACTCCAGGGGATGGGAAATGAAGAGATCTCCCTGACAGGCAATGACATCTGCGAGTGTTGCCAAACTTCAGGAGCTGAAAGGGGAAACAAGGATCTTCAATAGCTGAAGGGAAGAGTTTGACACCTTCAGTCCTGCCCCACTCACTGCGAGGACCAAGACCCGAACACCCACAGGAGCGTGGACACCAGCAAAGTGGCTCCACAACAATATTCTATTGTGTATAATATATATGTATTATATTCACAACACTGTGGGTAAACTGGGAACTAGGGGCTGCAGCACCTTGATGTAAAGCCTGCATTCACCCCGGTGCATGCAAAGAGTTCCTACACACACATTCCCATCCAATCCTGAGGGCTTTGCACAAGGGATGGTTTAACCCCTGCATCCCTCATTGCTTTGCCTGCATGAATCCCTAATATCCTTTCCTAAGGACACTCACCTCTGTACCCAGGTGCCTCAGACATAAAATTAACTAAAACCTGGTACTTTGGCTGGCTGTTGGATGTCTTTATTTCCAGCATGGAAATGAATTGGGCTTAAAGGTTTTGCTTAAGGAATACCTTTGTAAGAAGCTTTTAGTTCCTTTTACTCTCCTTCCTCTGAGGATTTATCGAATTGATGTGCACTGATTTCCCTGAAAGCACCTGCAACGAGCATCCAAACAGAACAAAGCCCACAAGCTCAAAGCAAACTTTCATATCCCCCTTTTAACTTCCAGCTCCCCAATCCCACAGGAATTTCACCCCAATTCCACCTAAGTTTCACCTTTGCACGGCGTTTCTCCCAGAAAAAAAACCATGTCACAAACACGTTCCTGAAAGTTCCATGTAAAAGAAGAGCCAAACCCTGCATTAAGATACACAGGGCCCTTGATGGAAGTGAGCAAAAGGAAGGTGAAACAGCAGCAGGGTCCTCCCCGGTGTCCTCCCATGGCACCGGTTACCGCAGCTGCATGGAAGCATCACCTCTGGCAACCAGATGGAGTGGCTGGGAATTCATTTCCAGGGAAAAGGGAGCAACAAAGAACCAAAGGAAAAACTCCTGGGTTCCAAGAAACACCAAGTGCAGCTGCTGCCCTCCAGGAGAGTGATGCAAAACCAGTCCCAGGTCACTGGTGCTGGGGCTTTTCGCTCCTAAGCCTAAGGAGGGAATGGGATGGGGAACACGAAGCTCTCCAAAGCCAAGAGCTCTGCTCTTTTGGCCCTTGAGGAGCATGGTCCATGCGATGCACCGAAGGGCTCCCGATGCAGGCAGGAAGTCGGGAATGCTGAAGCTGTTTATGGCAGCTGCAGCAGAAGGCAGTTAACACGTGCTGCTATAAATGTGAGCCCCGCTAGCACTGCCATAAACAGGCACAGCAAGCAACTGCTGGCTTCCCTCCCCTGCAAGCCAACACTCATCCATCTTGTCCTAACCTGTCTCTAGTCTGCTGTGTGCTTTGGGCAGAAGCGTTTCCCCCCTCTCCCTCCATGCAGGTCTGCCAGCACCATCCTCTTCCTTGCACCCCAAAGGACCTTATTCATCCTCAGCAGTCCCCTTGGCACTGCTGACTCTACACGCTGCATGCAGTAAAGCATCAAACAGACCTCAGTCTCATGATGGGGAACATTTAAACAGCACAGGAAAGCCTTTAGGGAGTCACTCAAGCAATCTCAGTTCCCAGGTCACTCCTCAGGCTGTGGATCAGTGCCAGGAGCAGGGGCTGTGCCCTCCCTGGCTCTGAGCCTCGTCAGAAGGATGCATCTCTGCTGATGCCAAATGAAGTTTGGTCCCTGCTGTGGCCAACCTTCACATCTGGGATGCAACACAACCAATTGTACATCCCTGTAGGAACAGCAAAACCTCACGGGCAGCAGGGTCCAGATAAGCCCTTGTCTGTGTATCAGTATCAGCACAACTGCCAGCCCCCTCGCTGTACCAGGCTCATTGGACATCCCTACTCTGCGGTAAGAAGCCTTGGAGCTCCCTTGTGCTCCAATACCACCGGGTCTGAGCGCATCCATCGGCTCTGACAAACTGCCCCAGGGGATCACTTACCCCTGGGGAACAGCAGGGCTGTTGTCCTGATTTACCTAGGACTCTACCAAGGGCTTCAGACAGGGATGGAAACACCCGAGGCGATTTCTCCTGGGATCACCCATTGCTCGCAGCCCTGCTCAGGAGCATCTCTGAGCAGCAGAGCTGCTGCCCTGGCTCAGTTTTCCATCCACCCCCTCAAGGGCATCACACACTTGAAAGGTGCTACAGGCCTGGCATCCTGGTGAACTCCTGGGGGTGACTTTCATGTGGAAAGCGAATCCATCTCAGCTCTAAATCACAGCCTCGCACTCTCTTTCCCCAATCCCTGCCTTTCAGCGAGGCCAATGCGCAAGTCCCAAGGCTGCTCTTCAGATCCTGCATTTGGGTGGCTTTGGGCTGAATGTTTAGATGGGCTCTTTGAAGGGTTTAAGCCTTAGATGTTCAGATGCAGCTGCATAAATACAGCTCCTAATTTCTCCTTGCTTCATATGTGAAAACATCAGTGCCCAAGGAGAGCGGCTCCCCGTCTGACCCACTTAGAGAGGAGAGCTGGAGCTTTCTGCCCTACCTGCTTTTTGCCTCCTTGTGCAGTGCTTGTTTCCTGGGAGGAAATCAGATCAGGTTTGCTCCATTGTGTTCCCTGAGCGTTTTGAGAGGCTCCTGACAGGATTCACTGCACTGTTCCCCCCCGTTTATCCGAGTGGTCGCAGGAACTTGAAGCATCCTTCGAGCCCTCCATAGGAAGAAGCTTTGCCTACAATTCACCACCCCTGCTAGGAGAAAAGCCACAAATCAAAGGCTTCTGAGCTGGCCTGGAGCTTGTGAGCTGTGTGAGGCCGTGCCCTTGGTGCAAATCACACCAAGAGCTCAGCGAGGGCTGCTGAAGCCTCCTGATGTTGTGTGAAAGGAAGCCCTCACTGTGCTGCCCATGCTCTGCTCCATGGCCATGCTTCCCAGCCCATCTGCAGCAGCTTTAACACTCAAATCCTGATGGGGAAATCCTTCACCTCTTACTACACGTTTACTCCATACTCTACATGAAAGCTTCCCAAACCCAACTGGATATGAGCATTTCCAATACCACCGATGAAGATAAAGGCTCATACTTTGCCATGGATTCTTATTACCCTCCCAATCCTCTCCCGTTAACAGCAAACTCTTCAAGGCATGACCTCGGTTTGTGTCTGTGCAGCCTCTTCCATAGTGAGGGCTGGGACTGGCCTTGTGGATGCTGCCTCTGCACCAGCAGCACTGGGAGCTGGATCCCACCACTTCGGTTGCAAAAACCACTTCACCCCTCCAGTGCCAGGAATGAGGAGGAACAGCTGAAAACCAACAGTTTAAGGGGTTTAACTTGGCCAGAGAAAGCCACTACAAGAAGTTTCCCTTTACTTTGTAAATCTATTCTTCAGAGAGAGCACTCAGGCATTAAAATCACTGCCTACCATGGACTAAAATGTCTCTTGTTTGTCCCCCTGGAAGTGACCTGAAAAGATGTGTTCATCAATTCATCCCTAATATCACTGGACCACTGCCAGAACAGCATTTAACCTGCAATCCTGACTTGCATACAAAACCAGAGGGAGGAAGAGCCAAGCAACATGTCAATGTTACACAATAACTGCCTTTAACTGCAGAAATTACTTAAAAGCCTTGGAAATCCACAGGAATGTCACAAGCCTTTGCTTGCCCCCAGCATTCCAAGCCCAGCCAGACCTGGAATACATCACATCATCTTCCTGCCTGTATCCTGCTCTTGCCATCTTTAGATTTGGGGTGTGAAAGGCTTTATGACCCCCTTTAGGGTCAGTCTAAAACAATTCAGACAAGGCCTTTATTGTCAGCCAAAGAGCATTGGCCAACAGACACCATTCATTGCTGTGCTTGGGTGCTAAGAGCAGCTCTGTGGCATTGGGACCATGGAATTGTAGGCGACTGGGATGCTCCCCGAGGCCAACCCCATCCTGGTTGGAGATGTTTGCTCTGGGGGCTGAGCACCTCCAGGCTGGAAGAACCCTCTCTCAGCCACCCACATAACCCAGTGCTCCCAGCGGGAATGACTCAACCGGTAAGACCCAAGTGACAGCGCTTTTGTCCAATGGATGCATTGAGATGCATTAGTCATGCCGAGAGCAGGCAGTGCTGGGGGATCGCGCCCTGAGGGCAGCAGTCACCTAGCAACTCCTGTGCTCACCGCCTCTCCTGGAGCATCTTTCACAGCAGGGATGTGGCCTGTCAAGTGAATGCTAGAGACCGATAGAAAAAGGAATAGTTTGGGTCCTGTTTCAGGGTGGATTTGTGTTTCTTAGGGGTTATTGCTAAGCTAAGGTGATGCTGGGAGGAAGAGTGAGGTTTGGGCAGCATCGCTCTCTGCTTCCAGTAGCTTGAAGAGGCAGAATTGCACAGGGAGGTACAGCTCTAAGCCAGGACTGAGCCTGCCTTTGTAAAGTGACCCTGTGCATAACAACTTCACATGTGGATGACCCTGGGTGGGGAGTGCTGCAAGGACCATCAGCATGGCAGGGCTGAGGGAAAGGGGGGAAAAAAGCCCTGGGAGCCACAGGGATGGCTGTGCAGGGCTACTGCAGCATGCTCCATCACCTCACTTCTTCCCAAGCACAAGCACCATCCTTGAGGTGCCACAGCTCAGATGGTGAGAGGGAAAGCAAAGGCAAGCACCTGGTTTGTCTGACCTGCATCATCCCAGGTAGTGGTTTCCTACCTCCGATTCAAGTCCAAAGCTCTCCTGACCCAGCAGCCCACTGGCAGCTTCCGCTGGTCCCTTTGCCCACAAAGAGCCCTCAGCATCTTTGGGAGACAAAGGTGAAGATCCCATCTCTTGGGTTTGGGAGATGCTGTCTGCAGTGCTCCTCTGGGCAAGGTGAATGAGGAACCTCTGGACACAGATCCTGCATTAGCCATGTGTTTGTAGCAGGGTTAAGTGCAAGGCTGAGAACTTGCCCAAGTGCCTTCTTGGATGGACTACACCTGATGGAGGCACATGCCAAGTCCTCATCATTCCCACCATAGGATAACCATCCCTGCCAGCTACCTGCTCCCAGCACCATTCCAACACTCCTCCTCGGGTGGCTTAATCCAAATGCCATGTGAAGCTATGGCAAACACTGTGCAAAACGTTAGGCTTATTAGAGCTACCTAAGAACCATGACTAAGCTAATGAATTCAGCCTTCTCCTAAAGGCCTCTGTTTCATAAACCCATTAGTTTTATTCCTAGCCTTTAATTCCCTATCCTTTCAATTCCCTTTCACCTATACCATTATGCTGCCCGGGATTACCAGCTTGTAGTTATCTGGGATGTAATGACAGCCCTTTCAGAATACAAACCAGCCCTTTCCCAGCTTTTCTGCTGCTGCTGAGAAATGAACATCTGCAGACCTCAATCTTGTGAGCCAGCTCTTCAGAGACTCTCAAACACCAGTTATATGGACGCTGATTTCTAAGCATACCCCCTGACACCACGGATATCATTTACTACCCTGCTGATTAGGGATGGAAAGGGAAAGATGCTCTCTCCCATTAGGGAGATAAAGCACATCATTCTGGCTTTCCAAACGCCACAAAGCAGCACTGACCAGACACTACAGCGCTGATTGAAGCGTGTCATCCAGTGATGAAGCCACCAGCTGGCACCACTCTTTGTGTTTCAAGATACTTCGAGTCTTTTTGTCTTTACTCTTGATAGCCACAGATTTCAGGCTCTTTTAATAATTGCCTCTCATCAGCTGGCTGAGCCTCCCTCCCCGATACACATCATTTGCTATCCAGTTCCTTTTGCAAACTACTGCTTTTTCCTTTATTTAATTTCTGCTCTGCCTTGGCTCCTGAAATCCAGGGGCTTGTCCATGTGATGATCGCCTCCTAAAAATTCCCAATGTTCCCCCATCCTTTTTTGCCCATATTTTAAGCTTCCAGACAATTCCAAGCACTTTTCCCCAGCTCTCAAAGCTGGCCCTTTGGAAGCTGCCATAGGACC